ACCCTAAACCCTAAGCCTTAGGGTTTGGTCTTGGTTTGCTTTGTTGGCTTCCAAGGCATGACGCTCCCGGAATGGGGGGCATAAGGGGGGGGGCTTGGCTTGCTTGGCTTTCAGACTTTGAGTTGAATCTCTGCTCTCTTGCGGTTCAAGGCTCTCTAGACCCTGAACCCTAAACCCTAAACCCGAAACCCGAAACCCTCTGTTTCTAATTCAAGCAGGGCACATGGGGGTATGAGTCGAGTCACTTTTAGTTCTCCACACAGAGAGGGTTATAGAGAGCGCGTTGATGGCTCCGCGGCTCTTTCTTACCAGGGCTCTGGGCTCTGAAACAAGCAAACGAAGGGCAGGACCTACACTGGCCTACAGTGGGTTTAGGGTTTAGGGTTTTAGGGACACCTACGCACCCTTTACAACACCTAAACCCCCAAAGGCAGCGACCAGTCATTCCTTCAAACTCCCACCCCGGACAGCTCCCGGGCACCGGGCCAGCGAAGCGAAACTAATGGAAGCCTCGCATCGTTCGAGCTCTGCCTGGGAATATCTTGCGATTTCGGCCCTTGAGGGGTTTGGGGGGTTCAAGCCGTTCGACAGTAGATTCACCGATACATTTCCCCCGCAGGCTTGGGACCATCTTGACAGTTGACCTGACCCGATGACACGTCCAGATAAGCCAGACTTACACCAGGAAGAACCCGCCAAGCTCTGGCGCCTCTAGGCACTCTGCGCGGCTGAGCAAAGAAGGGCTAAGCAGTACTGAGATTGTTGCTGGAGTTGAATCTAACCCCACGCTGATTACACCAAAAGGTCTGTACCTGCGACCTCCAGTCCATTGAACCCAAACGATCCTGAGCCCAGAACACTGACTCCAAACTGGGCCTTACTCCTCAGGGACGGCACACCCTACAACCCCGAGCCTCCAGAAAACAAGCCCGCCCGCCGCCTCCTTCTTGGCCCTAAACCCGCCGCCTCCTTCATGCACTTCTTCTTGAAAGTGTCGACGAGCTTCTCGATTAGCTTCCCTTCATGCGCCTTGGGCTTTAAGGCAAGTTGGCGCATCACCTTTTAGAAACATGGGAGGCTGCAGTCGCTTGGCAACTACTCTAGGAAGCTCTCTCTGCAAGGCACCGAAGCGGCTAGAAGCTGCCAGATTTTGTGGCTGTGTGGCTTCTGGTCGACATCATCATCATCATCATCATCATCATCATCATCATCATCATCATCATCACCAGCAGCATCAGCATCAGCATCCTCCTCCCCCTCCAGACAATGGGATTGCCACAATACATGCTTTCCTTGTAGTTTTCATGCTGCACAAAAGTAGGTCCTGAACACCAGCAGTATGCCAGGCAGCTGGGCTTCGCACCCGCCATTTTGCTGCCAGCTTTTCTCTTGACTTGTGCTCTTCCCTGCGAAGGGTGACAAAGGGGCAGCAGGTGGTTGGTTGATTGAAGTTCGGAATGTACGAGTAGCATAAAGTAGCATATCGTAGCGTACTACTGCTATCAACTTCAGAGTGCGGCTCCACGTCTAAAGTCGAGCTGCCGTGCTGCAGTCGTCCTGAAACCCTGTAGTACAACCACGATCGCTGAATCAAACCACGATCCCGAAGCTTCGACCCTGGATGATCTGCTGCACCTTTTATCTCCGACGATCTTTGTCAACTTCTGGGCGAAGGACCTGCGAGTCTGTAACTGGGCTGCATCTGGGATCTGGGGCTTGAACGGGCTTGAGGGCTTTGAGGCTTCACCGCTTCGGCTCGAAACTTCAAGATCTTTGGGTTCGTAGTAGACCCACGGCAAAGCTGAAGCGTTGGCAGCCATCGTTTCATATGTGGAACCCTCGTCGTGGCAGTGTCCAGTGTCCTTGCAGCTACCTGCTTTCGCTCTCAAGAAGGATGCTCACCATGCCGAGGGTCTGGAAGCATATGCTCGGTTTTTAGAGGATAGGATTAGAGGGACCCTTGGGGATATAGACCCTCTGAAGAAGGTTCGTGTTTAAGAGAGCCAGAAGAGGGCTCACAAGGGTTCCCGGTTAAGGGTCCCCCCTCATCCTACCTATGGGAGGTTGTGGAAGCACTCGAAAAAAAGAAATGCCGGGGAAAGAGCCGGTTGTTCCTGAGAAGAGAGGGAAGGTGAGGGAACGTTGCCCTTGGCTAGAGAGAAAGACCCCACGTCGCCCACACCCCAGGCACTACCCCAAACTCCAACTGGTTGAGGTTATAGGGTGTCAGGCTACCCACTTCCCCTACCCGCGAGTATCCCGAACATCGATCATTACCAGCGCCACGCAGTCAGAACCTCCCTCTGAGGCAACAAGAAGAACACTCAGGGCCGCTATTGGGCTCTTCGACCTTGAAAGCGTGTCCTGGGCCCCGATGATCCTAAACCCTAAACCCTAAACCCTAAACCCCTAACAGAGTCCAAGCCCCGCACATGGCTTCGGGCTGAGGCCGCACGCCGCGGCTCCCGATCCTGGACGGGGAGCTTGGGAGGGAAAGGGAGGGGAAGGGAGGGGAAGGAAGGGAAAGGGAGAGAGGACCGAAGGATGCAAAGTTTTGTAGTTGGGGACATACCGAAAGTACTGGTGCCCCGCCGATCAGTCGTGTCTAGGTGTCTGTCTAGACCGTCTCTCCGATTTTTGTTCTGTCAGGGCGAACCGAAAGCTTAGGCGCACGAAGAACATGCGCAACCAGTGAGCCGTCGCTGGGCTATTTTAACTAGCGTTGCGCCACTTGCCGCCGAGCTGCTGTCCCTTGCCCAGCCTCCCCCCCAGCGCCGCGCTTGCGATGGGGAGTTCGGGACAAAACTATCTCACTCCAGCTTGGGCCAAGGAGCACAGATCTTGAGACTCACGAGGGGCGTGTCAAAGGTAAATTTCTTCCGGATCTCACTTGAGGAAACCTCTTCAGACTCGCACCCGGATTCTCGTTTGCATAACCATGCTGCATGGTCCCTGCTCCCCTACATGACACGTACATCAACCCTGCATCGCTGCATTGCTCATTCTACGGGTGAGCAGTTCGGCAGGGTGCTCAGCTGGTTGGTCCCGGAAGTAGTGGGAATCCGAACGCTCCAAAAACTCGAAGCTCTGAAAACTCTAAAAGTTCCAAAAAGCTCTACACGCTCGAAACGCTCCAAAAGGTCCAAAAGCTCTGACGGGGCTCCCGGTGACTGCAGAAGCTGCTTTTTTTTGTCGGTCAACACCGTGGCCTCCGTCCTTGGGTCTGAGCCTCAACAACCAATTTTGTCTTTGAAGGATGCAGTTCTGTCGGGGCTAGGCGAGTTTTTTGGGATTTCTATAAGCTTTTCGAGGTTGGAACTTGTATCTGAAAATGCCTAGGCAACCAGGAGGCCAAGACCGGTAGGAGGAGGCGCCCCATGCACGGAGGCATGGCTCATGCAATGGTCTTTTGCCAGTGTCTGCTGCGCGCTGAACACACACTGCTTCATCATGCACGCTTCAAAATCCCGGGCATGCCACTGTCTGCTGTAAGCAGGCGAAGAAATCCCAAAGCTCGTCCGAAACTTTGACACAACAGTCTGCAAGAAACAGCTTCCAGGTGTCTGCATCGTTTGTGTAGAGGATAGGAGGGAAGATAGGAGGTGAACACACCCTGAACCAATGCAATTTCATTGACATAATCATTGCATCATTGTCTTGCAACCAGGAAATATCGCCCAAATATGTGTCAAGATAATATCCTCGACATACTTCCATACCGCGGGTGCTCTGTACACAACAACCCAGGTCCGTGTCTATCGCCTGCTCTCTGGCTTGACATCGGGAGACCTATCTACATCTGCCCAGAATGGCAGGGTCTCAACCAGCACCTTCTTGTGGACGTTCTTGGACCATGGAGGCTTACATCAGCACCGAGGCGCTGTGGCCGTCGCCTGGCCAAGAAAACCCTTCAGCTACATTGCCCCTTATGCTTGCAGTCCTTGGTATGGACTATTGGTACCCCAGTCTAATCCCCATTAAGGACTGCTAGCATAAGCGGCATTCAGTCTATCGAGTCCATGAAACTCGTCAGGCCCGTTTTGGGAAGAAAGCTCCGAACCTAAGGCGGAAACAGTTTAAACACGCGAACGCAATCCATCACGCTAGCCCTGCTGGGCCATGTGTTCGGCGTGGCCCGGCTGTTTTACGGGCCTTGCATGGTCTGTGAAAGACAAAACCACTAGGCAGCCTACTTGCTACTTCCACCAATGTACACACAGCCGTCCCTCACCCTGCCCCGGCACCCTAAACCCTAAACCCAAAACCCTAAACCTGCAAGCCTTGTTAGCTGAGCACACTCTTGAAGCGCTTCTCGAGGTCGCCCTGGGCAGGCTGTGGCCTTGGCGCAGTGGCTTGGTGTCTGTTCCCATTGGGTTTAGGGTTTAGGGTTTAGGGTTTAGGGTTTAGGGTTTAGGGTTTAGGGTTTATGGTTTAGGGGGTTTACCCTACAGCGCCCCTCTATACTACCCCTCCCCCCCCCGCCCCAGGTTTGATTAGGCTCTTATCAAGTTCATATCAAGGATGGAGGGTTCAGGCATCAAAGCCGTCCCCCCTACAATGAGATGAGGGTGAAAACGAGCTACTCAGTCAAACCCACCAAAGCAGCGCCCTTTTTCTGGATGCGCGTTAGATCTTCGGATCCGGCCGGGAACACGTCAGAGTGGTAACCTTTCGGCCACCCTCTGGGATCCCTGCCTTTTGTCAAAGCTGGGCTGGCACAATGCATGCGACTCAGGTCTTATCCTGTGATGCTTCTTCAAGAGTCCCTCGCTCAAAACCATAAGGAACACCCACAGAAGGTGCAGGGCCCCAGGTAGCAGCTTGCATCGGAGCTTGTTAGCACCGACCCCCTGATGATCGATTCCGCCGACTTCACTCCTGTCGAACTTGCGATCTCATGGTCGCCTGCTGAGGTTGCGGATTCACCTTGATGTGCCTTGCAGCTCCGGTCCCAAATTTCAAGCCCTCTCCACTTAGACTCGGAGGGAAACTCAAGGAGTTCAGCCGCGCCTGTCCATGCGAAAGATATGGATCGGGCTGCGATCCGGGCCAAAGCTCAGAAGGCCTTGGCTGTTAGTTGCCGCCTTGCTGCTGCCAACTTAGCTTAGCCGGCTTTACATGGCTCCGGAATTAGGGGGGGCCGCTCTGGCCGGACAGCTGAAACCTCATTTAATGACAACAGCTGTTCCGGGATTCTGCTGCAAAACCAGCGGTCATCACAGTGACAGAAGGCATCGGAACAGCAGATATTGTACGACTGTGATGGCACCACTGAGTAGGAGAGACGGTTCGGGCCATGTCACGTCCCATCCAGTAGCTTGAGTCTTCACCAACGCGGCCCTGACTCTGTCTTTGCCACTTCACCATTCTGACCCCAAAAAGGGCAAGACACTCCAACCAAAAGACGCACCCAGATATCCCGAAGCCCAAGACCATCCAGGAGCACAAAAAAGGCCAAGAGCGACGACAGTTCTGCATTTTGATGAGGAGAACGCGCACGCGATCGAGGCGAGAGTGCCACTTGCGCCGCCGCAATATGCAAATCCCCCGAGACTGGACTCACGAAGGGACCCCATGCAACAGCCCAAAACGTGGAAATGTACGCGCCTACTCCATTTTGTGACATGGCCTCCAAAAAGCGCACGGGCACCTAGGCGGAAGCATGATTTCGAGCACGGAACGTGCACGGGACCTAGGCGAGAGGGCGATTTCGCATTTTCCACGAGGAAAAGCTGTTTCGCAAGTCCCGGAACTCTGCCCGCGCCCGCATAGTCCAGGGCGTGATATGAATTTTGGTTCAAACTGCAGCAAGCCTCGAGCGGGAGTCAACGTGCCGGGCGCACCGCGCAGATATGCGGCAATGTAAGTTGGAACCCCACATCGAGCTGGCACATGGCTGGGAGAAATGTTTGGCCACGCACGACGTCTGAATTCTCTGCTTCTCATTCTATGATATAATCCAATATAGTACAATATAGTACAATATAGTACAATATAGTACAATATAATACAATATTGTATAATATTGTATAATACAGTATAATATAGTATAATATAGTATAATTTAGTATAATATAGTATAATATTGTATAATATTGTATAATATTGTATAATATTGTATAATCTAGTATGATGTTGTATAATATAGTATAATATAGTATAATATAGTTAGTATAATACAGCATGATACAGCATAATACAAATACAACTTGAATGCGAGCAGCAGCTGGAGTCGAACCACGGCCCCAGCGAAGTCTCCAGCGGATTCTCGAAGACGGCCGGGCCTGAGGAGTTCTCCATGCGTGGCTTGTGCGCCAGGAAGACAGTGGTTCCTCGCAGGGTTTAGGGTTTAGGGTTTAGGATTTAGGGTTTAGGGCTTAGGGCTTAGGGCTTAGGGCTTAGGGTTTAGGGCTAGGGTTCAGGGCAAGACAGTCGGAGACAATGGGCCTTTGGAAATCTTTTTCTCTTCTCTCTTGGAGCAAACCGAGGCACCAGGCCGGGAGAAGAAGAGCAGGGTGTTCTTGAGCTTGGCAGGAGCTGCGGATGAGTAGAGCAAGTCCGACATCAGGATAACATCAAATGCATGGCCGCACTGCTTGCTGATAGATTGCCTGTGCTCCTCCATAACCCAGTCGAGCTCTAGAACGTGCGTGTTCAGATTCGGGCAATTCACCGCGACGTTGTGCTTGACCAGGGGCAGAACAGCCCGCCTGTCCGTGAAAACTGCCTTCCCACCGGACAGATGGGCGGCCACGATGCCCGGAAGCCCACATCCGCTTCCCAGCTCAAGGATGGCCTTTATAGCAGACAGGTGAGACCGCTACTGAGGACCCCGCCCCCATTTTCGACTCCACTTTCAAAAAGGTTTGCACTGAGCTTGAGGATGTGTTTGCCAGAGCTCCTATTTCGGTAGAGCTTTACCACATTTTCACCCTCTTACTTCGGACTCTTGTGGGGGACTCTTCAGCCCGGCCTTGCCCTTGAATTCTACGGGCTCCGGCCCAAAGCTCGCGAGCCAGTGCGCCAGGAAGATGCCTGCATCCCAGAGACGCCCACCAGTGGGCATGTCTGCGCTGGAGATCTCCTCCCTGATGCGAAGTAGGCGGCCATGGAAAGCAAAGCACCGGAAGCAATGCTCGTTGCTCTCGTCGTGGCCGTTCTGGCCACAGGCCCCAAGCGGCATGGACTCACAAGACATGAGCGCCTCACCACGGAGGGATTGCGCGTTTAGAGCCCAGAGGTTGCCGTCGAGCCTCTGCACTTGCGGGAGCGATGGGACAGCATCAGGCAGACAGGGCTGCACTCTGCACTTGGAGGCACGAGGGGGTGATCGTGACCGGCTCCGATCATCAACTTCACCGCCGCCTCCGCCTGGCATCGCTGCAACCAGAAGCCGAGCATCCTCTCTGCTGACCGGGCAGGGCAACACATGAAGACAGTGCCACACAACGGAGTGCCACACAAACGGCAACAGGCAAGTTAGGACCCGCATGACATGTACCACGTAGTTCCTGGACTAACAATACTGATACTATGCCTCCTCATCTTGCTCTTCCTTACCATCACAGGGCTTAAAAGAGGCATAAGAAGATATCTTGTCAAAAAACTGGCTTCGATGTCCTCCACAGCGAGGGATTCTGGAGCCAGGCAGTCAACAACCAACTCCAGGCCGTCGCAAACGTGAAAGCTGGTCACATGCACGTCCCGAACATCCCCCATCTTCGTGCCCTGCTGTGCAAGCATCATGGGGAGAGCGACCCTTCACATATGCCTATACCTCGAGATTTGGAAATCCCAAACGCACCTCGCTTGACCTGGCTTTTTGGCTATGAGTCCTAGATGTTCCTAGCACGAAGCAAAGCTTGGGCTGCCGACTTGGTCTAGTGTCCTTGCCACACACCCAGCCCTGCGCCACTGCATCAAAATCCCATCGCCAGTCCAGAAAATCCAACACCCCAACCCCGAAAACTCCTCCAAATCTCTAAGTCTAACTGTTTTAACCCTTTTTAAAACTAGAGTCACTCTGAAGTCCTCCCTTCAGCCCCTCCTTGTGGTCTATGAGGACCAGATCCAGCGCAAAGTCCAGCAGCAGAGGCCTAGGCTTGGAGAGGTGCAGAGGACACGGGCACCCCTCTCTGGGTGGTGCCCCTTCAAAGGGCTCCTAAGGATGTTCACAGCTTTTCTGTGGTGCTGGTCAGTGCAACTACAAGCAACACCCCGGTGATTCTTCAGAAGAGAAAATATCTTCGCAAGAGCCAGTTGTGAAGCTGGCCTCTTTCCACATCTTCGGCGGAGCGTGACACTTGTCGCGCTTGTGATCATGACGGGTTCATCATTTTTCATCATTTTAGGGGCCTTGCCAACTGTCTGTTGCCACTGTCGAGTTTAATTCAACTGCGCCTTCTCATTGCCAGGTTCAAAAATATGCAGAAATCCAATACTTCGAGTCCGAAATGAAGAACCGTGTCAACCCGGCCTGGGTTCCAGGGCGAAGCCCGGGATTTAATGTCGAAAAGGAAGTCAAACTTCATTCAATTTGGGCTGCTCCCCCTTATACTAACAGTCCTTCATAGGGGTACTATAGCCCCTATTATACTCCCTGTTAAGGACTGTTAGTATTCGGGGGAACATCCCAACATTCAATGCTGGGCCATGGTCCGGTTCTTGGTGCTAGGCCCAACTTTGAAACGTGGAAAACAACACCAAACGTCTTTTCTGAACCCGACCTGTAACCAAGACGAGCCCAGCATCCATCGCCCAAAGGAGTGACGTGACACATCGAGCTTAGCCTGTGACATGCCCGCCCTCTACGGTAGACGAAGGAAGAACTCACAAAATACCCAAGAAAAACAAAACTGCATCCCCATGCCAAGATCAGCCCGGGCTTCATGAACATCTCGTCCGTCACGGACACAGCGAAGCGCAGCCGCGATCCCACCAGCTTCGGTGTGGATGCCAGGTAGGTGCGCAGAAGCATGGCGGAAATGTTTAGCGGGCTTCAGGCTCAAGGGCTACCAGGTTGAGTAGCAATTTTTTAGGGTTTGGACTCCGAGGTTGCAAGGGCAGGGCATACCCCGTAAGGTCGGGATTCAATGCAAGTGGAGCTGCTGCTGAGCCTTTCAGTCGCGGTAGCAACACGCGGTGGTTTCACTGCAGATGGATGTCGGATCATCTCCTTGGTGCGAGTTTGCGTTTACTGGAAAAGGGCTGTAGAGGCGGATGTATTTTGAGGCCGTGCGCTTGTCACCATGGACCCCTGGACCTTTGCAACTCCCTGTGTGACGCCTGACTTCAAGATTCGGCCCCCCCCCCCCCCTCCCCCCGTTCGCGGGTTCGGGTCGGCAAGTCACGTTCTCATGGCATTTTGGCAGTCGGCTGCCTGACGTGACCGAATCCTTGGGACCGAAAAGGACTGAGAGAAGGGGACTCGGACATGGCCCCAACCCCTCAAGACATACCCGTGAGGCCCGAAACCGGCCCTAGGCAACCCAAGTATCAAAAGCTCCGAACCCGAAGTATTTATGAGAGTTCTTCTGACCTCTGAGGTGGAAGCTTTGGGTTGTTACTGAAAAATGGCGATAGGATGCGATAGGGTCAGAGGCTGTCAGGCTGTAATTCTCTTCTGCGCCTTCAGTGAGGATCTACATCTACTGCAGATGGCGATCTGACTCGATGCAGATCCGTCATTGGGATTCTGCTGTGGGGTCCAGGGCTTTCGCTGCAGCTGCTTTGGGTCTACGGTCTTCACGGCATTCGTTTACGGCACGAGGCCCGGGCACGAGCGTTACCAGCTCCCGCGCGAGCTGAGCAGGGAAAGGCAAGGGCAGGGCTGTGAGGATGCACAAAGAACTCCAGGTTGCAAGCTGCAGGGGTCCTGGTGTTAAAGGTTTCTTGAACCTGGTGTTACAGGCGTTTTGAAGAGGAGGGCACGAATTATGAGGACACTTCTTTTCTTAGGAACTGTCTGACCCTTTTCTGCCCTCGAGTTGCACTGAGAAGTTCTTTCAACCTTTGCTGGACGCACTGTTTAGGGCGTTTAGGTTTCAAGGCTCTTGCCACTCTGCCAGCCTATCCGGCCATGCCCTTATGTTTGTCCGTTTCTGTGCTTCAGTGTTGGCTTCTTCGATTGGCGTGGCATATCGATTTTCTCAGGGACTATAGAGTGATCTGCACCATGGTTGCTGATGTGGTGGGTTCGATGGCTGTTTCCGGAGGAAAGCACACGATGAATGCTGGGTACTGATACGAGGCTTCTTGTCGTCTGTCAAATCAGGGATTGTGGGCTCTAGGCTTCCAAAGTGCAGCAGCGCTTGAGCATGCTAACTCCAATTATGTCACACCAGTCTTTCCGGCGCGTCAATATATTGTCCTTGCCTGAATCGATATCCCTGAGCTGCCGCCCTATTTCATCCAGGAAAAATCTTACGTTCCGCACCTTCTTCTCTGAAGTGCTCAGCATGGAAAACTGCGTCTCCGCCGCATGCGTCCTGGACCAGGCCGAGGCCATGACATGATGTTTTGGGTCAGAGCGTAAAGGCTTCACGATTCTCGTTGTAAGTCGAAAATCAGGTGGCCAAGTCACCAAAGATTCCGAGGCAGGCAAACAAAGCCACACGCAAGGCAATGCACCACGATCACACATGCCGAGCTGGACGGCAGAGACCTCAGCAGCTGCTGCAAGTACTCGCCCACTGTGGATGCCGGCATCGGCATCTCAGAGTCGACTGCCGTCCTCGGGCAAACTTCAAGCCCCGTTTGAGGTCGAGTGTGGCTGAGGGTTTCCAGGAAAGCGTTCGCGCATGAGTTCACATTTGCAAGACTTTGACCTTGAACTGAAGGGTTTCCATGTCTAGCACAAACTGCGCAGTAGTTTGCTACACTGCCTGCTGCCCAGGTGATGCTACAAATCATTCTCTCTGTAGACTGGCTACATTGAAGGGTGTGAAACTGTGCCGCACAGCTCATGCTCGTTGAAACGCAGCGGGGATGAGCTCAAAGGTGCAGTCTTCATGTTTCGGAGGCTGTGCGTCAAGAACAATGTAACAACGACCCAATAACACTGAAACTTGATTGGACTCGGACTACTTTGGAAAGGTTGGCCTTGCGTTGCTCTTATTCCGGTATGGGGTTCCGAACGCTCGACACAGCGCACGGTACGCAACACCTGGTGTGGTTTGTGAGCCTCTCACGTTTGTCCCGTCGTGTGGGGCAGTGGGGCCTCGCTGGTGGGCTCCGTGCTCGGTAATCTTGGAGATAGAAACTCCCTGCACCTCTCATATGCTTCTCAAAGCAATAATAATATGCATCATAATACTTGACACTCCCGCCGCTTCCAAAGCTGATGCGCTTGAGTTCTGACTCTGCATGACACTTCTAAACAAGACCTGCTTATGTCAACCCTCCATACTCGATGTCAACTTTCCATCGTTAGCTAGATCTGTAAAAATTTGTTCGAGCCTATGTATACGAGCCGGTCATCTAATGGTCTAGAAGAATCCCAAGTCGTGTGGTGTAGCAGAAGAGTCGCGTGATTTAAATTGAGGAGGTTGTCGGAGAAGAGTTGCGCCTTTTAGTTGATTGCACGGATGACTGTTTCATTACTTGATGCTGTTGTGCCACTGGATGGGTGATGGGGTATGTCCTTGCATGCCATTTTATTTAGGGGGTCGATGTAGATACTAATATGTAGATGCATGTACATCAGAAAATACAAAGCACGCATACAAGCATGCTTACCCGGGCACCCCTCATGCGTGTGGAGCCCTGCAAGCTTCTTGACGTATTCTGGGAAGGTACTGAGCAGTCCTCAGGGACTGCAGCACCAGGGCGAGATCATCCGCCTGCGAAGCAGAGCCACGGCCACCACGCCGCATCCTATAGTCAACCGCAGACCGGGGCCAACAGGCCCTGTGGGGATGCGACAAAATCATTTGTCTAACCCAGAGAAGCAATACTTGAAAGGAACTCCTTTTAAGAGCCCGGTTGTCATGATCCAGGCACGTCGGTGCCAAGCAAGTCCCGGAATCCTGACCGTCTAATGAAGTCCCTGGGTGCATCCTGCACCTCAGCGGCTTGTTAGAAAAGGTGCGTGGCGGTCGGACTGTACCAAAGAAGGAGACCTTCACCTGTTGACCTATGCACACGTGGCCCGCTACCCTACACCCTACACCCTACACCCAAAAC